TTTTCATAAAGTTTTGGGACTTAAAGACTGCCATTTTTCGACAGGAAACGCGTGATATAGTTTGTTCTATTAACACGTAAACGGAAGTTTAATCCATCTTAGAAATCATTTCAAGTTGAATTGAGGCATGCTATTTGGCATGCTATTGATACTTTGGTATCTGCAAAAAAAAACAAATTGTACGTTTTTGCGATGGTTTTAAACGAAAATGATGATTTTCAACAAAAAAAATCTTAAGCTTGTTTTTTTTTGAAAACTTCATAGAGGGCAGCCAGAACATTCAAGTTGGCACTGAAACGAGTTTTATTGTGATTTTCTATTCTTTAGTTGGTCTGACAAGTAAACTAGTCAACTTCACAATAAAAACTTAGTTGTTAATTATGGAATATAATAGTTTGATTACAAATACTTTACAATAATATAAAAAGCAAAAAAATGAAGAAAAAATTCCAAATAAATTAGTTGTTAATCATTGAATATGATAGTTTAATTACAAATACCTTACAATAATACAAAAATCAAAAAAATGAAAACAAATTTAAGCAGTATAGTTGCAGTATATTTTGCAGTATCGTTTTGCCGAGAAAAATCGTTTCGACTTTAATCGATCAATTTTATCCACAAAAAAAACACAATTAACCATGGAAAATATTTGAAGAAATACTTCGACCGTCGGAAACTTAAACTCAGAAACAAAATGGCAGTAAAAAACCACTTTGAGGTTTTGCGACCCAAGCATGCTACATTTTTCGACCGACTTGACCCGAAAATGTATGTTTCCACAGAATAAGTCTGCAAAAGTCTATATAGCTTCTGCAAAGCAAAAGTTCTGTTGTTTTCATTTGTTAAATTTTTAAGAGATGATAGCACTTGCACTGGATGTACTTGAACTTTGTTTTTGGTCTATCAATTTTTTTTGCAAGAACGTCTTAAAAATCGAAACTCGTTGCATTAAAATTTTAACATATAGTGTATGTTTTGAAAGTGTAATTTTCATGCTGTTTTATTCGGAAAAATGTAGCTTCTTGGACCTTCGTCTAAGATCTTTGTGGACCTGTGTTGCATTTTCTGAGTTCAACTGTGTTTTGATACTCTGTTTTGACTGTATTTGACTACACTTTGATTTTAGGTTACACTTAGTCTCGAATCTTTGTTAGACGTTGTGTTCAACTATGGTTCAATTTAGAGTTGGGCTGTACTGGATTCTCTTGCTACAACTTTCGCACCTTAAATGATGAAAACTGAAACCAAAAAATTACGAAAGTTGATTAATTTTACCAATGAACCTGAAGCGAATCTCTAGATTTTTAACACAAAATAGTAAAAAATGGAATTAAACGCATTCAAGAATTCACTTGGTCTCAGATTTGCGCAATGTACGCAGAAGAATGGCAACTATTTGAGGAAAAAATTGTTTCAGGCTGTGTTAAATGAGTCGGCTTTGTATGTATTGGCCTGTTTCGTGAGGACACAATTGATAGTAAATTAGAGAAAAGCAAAACTTGTCGAGGAGTTGTTTGCAATATTTTGTATTTTAATGCGAAGCCTTGAAGTTTCCGAAGTTTTCTTGAGTTTTTTTTCGGCTGAAAAAGAGACGGAACTATGGAAAAAAAATCTTTATAGCTTTAAAAAAACTAGCTTTACAAAAGAAGATCACAGGTGAAATGTTTTATGATCGAGCTACAAACAATGGTATTTTCCTGTTGGTTCAGAAAATTTAAAAATTTCCTCCAATAAGACTCAGTTAAAAAGTCGAAATATGATTGAATAAAAAACCACCCCAAACATAAATAATCCACTTTTTTCGAAAGTCGAAACAATAATATAAACAATTTGAAACAAGACTGCTCGCATTAGGGCAAAGCTAGAAAGTTCCAATTTCTTTTGAAGGTCTGACAAGAAGAGTTTGCTTATAAACAAATTGATGAAGGTGTCTAAAAATAAAAAAAAATGTTGAGATTTTTTTAAATTATCACCCCACACGCTATGTTAAATACAAATAAGTATGTTTTACTTAAGTATGTTAAATACAAATAGACCAACTAACATGTCTCAATCAGATTGGAATTACTTGTAACTTGGATTAATAGCACAAAATATCGGCCCCCTAACATCTTTAAACCCCCATAAACTTCAACTAAAACTTTCAAACGATGATCACAGGTGAAATGATGGTCTTTTTAAATTTGAGCCCAAGGCAACCATACTTTTCGAATGATATTAAAAAGTTCCGTAAAAAGGGGCTGGTTAAAAACTCGAAGTTTGTCTGGAGAAAAAACCACCCCGAGCACAAGCATTCCGCCACTTTTTCAAAAGTCGGAACAATAAATTGATTTCGTAATACAGAGCAACTAAGCGGCCATGCTTTGGAAGCAGCAGAAACATTTTTGCTGATATTCGTTGTTTTAATTTGAGGTTTTTATTTTTAAACCCCCCCTCCTCTGCTTATTGTTTGTTGAATTTACAGCATGGAGCGCAACAGATTTCTGAGGGACAAAGACATCAACCCCTCCCAGCAAAGTCTGCAGGTGGAACAGCTGGTGCGCAATCAGCAGAAGGAAAAGGCCATCCTAAAAGGCTATGCCATTCGTGTCACGTTCGCATTCGTACCCCAAGCACTGCGATACATCCTCGCATTGATGGTCAACACATAAGAGCTGTGAAATACAATAATAAAAAAATCAATTTTGCTTTTAGCGATTTAATTTATCAAAAATAGGACGGAAAAAGTGACCAAATCGAGCCGGTTATTTATAACTGGCTGAGCGTTTTTCTTCATTTTTCTAAAAGACAAAATTTTTGTTAACAAAAAATTGCTTTTCTTCCTCGCTAGATATTTTTTTTTCTAAAAGCAGCACTCATATTTATTCGAAGTAATATTCTTGGTTAAAGTTTTGGCAGGATTGTTTCGAATCAAACAAATTTTTTTTTGTTGAGGCAATGGAAACATTTTTTTAGTGAATGAAACAGAAAAAGTCTTTTTTTGAGTTCATCAGATTTTACTTCACAGCTCATTAGGTCATGATATCTAAGAATGGGCCACAGTCACTACTAGTCGGCCATACAATACCCGCCCTGCTTTTTAAGCAGTTCGTTCTCCTAGCTGTAATTGGAGCCGCTTGCTTCAGCTCTTTCATACACTGTTTCTCCCAGACGAAGCTGAAAGACGCGGCCAAGAAACTGCTCACGAAGCAACAACGTCCGAATCAAAACGACAACGGGGTCCTGATGGTGCGCCGCGACAGGCCCAATAGGCTTCGGGTGGCGACATCGACCCCACGGCTTACACCATTGTCGCCATCGCCGTCGCCGTCGCCGAACCTTCTGGCCAATGAAAAGTGACACCGCCCAGCTACTCGGAATGCGGAATTTTTGTGGAATGCTTGGCGGCAGTTTTATACAAGCTTTTTATGCGGTTTGCTGTGAATATTGTCAATAATATGCTTGTCGGTGAAGACTAATGAAGCAGGTATCGTCAATTTACCATAAAAATGGACAAAAACTCAAAATATTGATAAATTGTTCAATCATCAGATGAAGGGTCATAAGTTTGAACGAGCAAAATTCTTTTTCGAGGTCTTAAAAATTGTGGTATAGTCGACGATCCGACTTCCTAGAAGCAAAAGGCTCCCACTCCTTATGCTCAAGTAATTTTTTTATCTTTAAATTGAAAACAGATAAAAGACTAATGAATTGAACCTGATTACGAAAACGAGCATTTTTCTTTTAGCCCCCCCCCCCCTCTCAGGCGTCAGATCGTGAAATTGTAGTCCAAAATCTTACGACATCAAATTGAAAGAAACTAGCATCCTAACTACAATGGTATTATATATTTTGGCAGGAAAAATTATTAAACTTCAGTCTAATGTTGGAGGGGAAGTTTCAATTTTTGATGCAACTTTGAATGTCTTCAAAAAGCTTCTAGATTTTTCTTCTTGCAGTTTGATGTCTTGTAACATATCTATAATTTCATGGTGCATGTTGTCCCATTAGACATTTAATCAGATGTATAATCTTGCGTTCTGTAGCAAAAAAAAATGTTTGTTTCTTTCTCTTCAATTTATCTTGAAACTTCTTGAAAAAAGGCAGTCATCATGCTTGGATAAGGAGTTGGAAATCTTATTTGATCGGCTTTTCCTGACATTCAGAATTTCTTTAAGAGTTTAAAATATGATCTAAATGAAAGCGGAGAGAAGCAGTGATCCTTGATAGTTAAATGTAATACGGGTTCCACGACTTTCTACCCAGTCCAAACAACCCTATACCAACCCACCCAATACCTTTCTACCCTATGAAAGCAATTGAAACCTTTCCCGTACTGTCGAAGAATCCTTAACAGTACATTTCCGAACAAATCAAAGAACCATCAATATTGACCAAAGAATACAAAAGCAAGAAAACAAAAGCCTTAAAGCAACGATCCGGTGTGATGACTAGCGAAAGCATTAATTGCCGCACGTTCAAAATTGAGGAGAAAGCTGCGAGTCTCGGTGTTTATGTGATCGCTGATAAGCGCTTTGCTACCTTTTTGTATATGTGCTCTTTTCATTGAAAACAGTGCGTAAATGCACGGAGATAAATCCAGAGAAATGATTGTGGATTGTATTAAGTTGATAAAACTGAAAAGGGCAACCTTGAATGTTCTGTCGAAGAGCCAAACATCTTGATGTAATATCAGATTCTAGATTTTGTCGCAAACTTCAACGCCGCTATCGAAGACGCAAAAATTTTCTTGCTGCTTCGTTATGTCAAACTACCTAACGACAATTGGAAGCACTGTGGGTCTCTCATTTGACTTCGGTCGTTTGATGGCCCGATTAATCGCCGTCAGGCAAAGAAGAGCTAATTGAGCGGCTTTTTCTTCGGAAACAGACTGCAGACAAGTAGCTATAAAGCTGCTAGTGACTGGTACTTGCTGTGAGCTCCTGTTTCCGTTTCTGCACGAAAAATATTGTGTTTGAACGATAGGAAATTTCTTAGTGAGTGTGTTAAATTCTACGGATGAAAGGATCGTTAGCTCAGGTTATTGCTGTCGTTTTGCTTTTGTGGGACCCTCACCTTCCAGTGAAAGTTTCAGTTCTTTTTTCCTGTTTTTTAGTAAATTCAGGGCCACCAATTACATGTGTTTCTGATTCCGTTTGCATGAACCCCAAAACATTTGACTCAATTTTTTTTAAAAATTTCACTCCAAGGAAAACTGATATAACGAGATGAGATCTTTTATTTATCTATGGCATTAAAGTAATTTGGGATTTAAATCTGTTAATTGAGACAAATATCAAATGTTGAGGCTGAAACTGCTGCTTGTACCAGTCACTAGCAGCTTAATAGTTTTTTAGTAAACTCGTGGCCATAAATTACAAGTGTTTCTAAAATCCGTTTGCATAGACCCCAAATAATTTGACTCAAATTTTTAAAAGTTATTCCAGGTAAAACTGATATAACGAGATGAAATGTTTTATTTTTGTATGGGAATAAAGTAATTTGGGGTTAACACCTGTTAATTGGGACAAATTTCCATTTTTGTGGCTGAAATTGCTATCTAGTCTCTTGGACAAATTTTTTTAAATGGAAGACTCAATTTGAGTCCAAAAATTTGGACCTAAATGAACAAACACGTGCTGTTTTAATTCTTATTCTGATCAGCACTTCAAAAAATTACATTAATAATGTGTCAAATCGACACAAGTTAGATTTATAAATAGGTCAGATTAGGATAGATTAGATTGGTATAGTGTAATTGGTATGTAGGGTATAATAGCAAAGAGTAGAATGGTAGAACGTAGTTTGTAATAGGGTATATTGTCATGCCACCGTAATACAGTCTAAGTTAGAAATTGCAGGAAGAAATTTTTACTCAAGTCTAGCCAAAAAAAATTCGTTAATGGCATTGATTGCAATGAAAAACAAAGCAACAAAGTAGGTATAATATTTCCAGATAAGTACTTAAACTGACTTCATTAAAAAATTAATTTGATTCTATTAATTTGACTCCCTTAGAAAAATGTCATGCAATTTTGACATTTTTCTTCAGTAAGCGATCACTTCAACAAATACTGCTCATTATGCAGGGTTCCATCATGAAAACTTTTTTAACAGCACAGATTCATTTCATTTGAAAATCATGAAAAAATGCAGCACAACTGAGTTCTCAGAATTGCAGTGTTTTTTGTCGGTGATAGAAAGAACTAAAGTAACGAAATTAAAAAATCGGTCTAAATCTTTCCGTTGGAGTAAACCGTTACATAAAAATAAGGTAATAAGGTCAACGGTTGGTAAGTGGTGCAGTTATTTCTAAAGTATCTTATCTGCGTCAACATGGATGCAAAAAAAGCTATATCACGGCCAGTTTGTTGATTCTGTTGAAAAATAAAATTTCCACAATGTCATTCAAATTTTGAGTACTGTTAGAATATATTTTGGTGTTGAATATAAACTTGATAACAAATTGAGGATCTTTTTTCTCCGCCACGAAATTTCAATCCAAAAATTATGATATTTTCTGAAATTTGTACCATTCATATTTCAATGGTAATAGACATGTTCACTGAAAAATATCGGATCAAACTTCAATCAAACGCCGGAGATGATCAATAACTTCTGGATTGCTTTCGATTTTCATTTTCAAGTATTTTAACATATCTTTGGTACCTCGTTGTATGAGTAAATATTGAATCCGTACGGATTGGCAATTATCTCGATAACTCAATAGAGAATGAAAAGGTAACTGAAAGATAATCTTTTACCCGTTGCTATTGCCTAATCAATGCTCTCAGTTTACGGACTGGCCGTGATGTTCAAGGTCAGCTAACCTGGAGTACAATATATATAGATATGGAGTACAATATATATACAATATATATTCATATCTATATATATATATATATATATATATATATATATATATATATATATATATATTGTACTCCAGGTTAGCTGACCTTGAACATCACGGCCAATCCGTAAACTGAGAGCATTGATTGCTTATAAATATGTACATAAAAATTTATATGCACATCAACTGGTGAACGCCAATCCGGACGGATGACATTCCCCCTCTGACAACAAATTGAGTTGTGAGTCCAAGTGGGACTAAAATGAATTTTAATTTATTGAGTTTTTTGAGTCCTCGTGGGTCTTTTAGTTCTCTTTCCTTTCTGTGACCCTTCGAAGTTCCTCACCTTGCTTAATTCGGATTGTTTCGTCCCCCTCATCTTTTTTTTGTGTTCTTCAGTTGTTTCGATTTGTTCTTGCGCCGCCGTTTCCTATTGATCTTTCTTGCCATCTTCCTTTGCCACATCTAGTATTGTTGCTTTGGTTTGTTTTGTTGGGCTATCGATTAGAGATACGAAGTCCATCACGTTGTCAGTTTCATGTTGACTAATGGGTTTGATTGTCTCCAGAAATTCAACACATGCAATAAATTCATGTGAGTTTTCTTGAAAACCCATCTCGTTTAAGAAATTTCTTAATGCTGCTGGATTGGTTTTGTTTCTTCTGTATTAGTCTGGTTGGTTTCTCGTGTAATGTAATGGTGAATTGCTGTTTTTATACTGTTTATCGGGATTGGATTTCCTAATGCCTTACCCAACGTTAACCATCGCGCCCTTGTCGAATTTTTTGTCGCTTCTGTTTGTGCTGTTTGAGATTGTGGCTGTGGAGGTGGCTTTTTGACGTCAATCCCGTCAATTCCAGCTTGTTTTGGAGTCGGTTTCCCTCCCGATCGTTTGCCGGTTTGTGTTTTCGCCTCTTAATTACTCGGATTTCCTTCGTGTTTGTTGTTCCTTTTGGACAGTTTCCTGGGTAGCCCGTCTTATCGTCCTCCGCAAGTTTTGGATATTGCGTGGCGTTCGGTTGTTTAATGTCTGATATACTCTGTTGTGTGGTCGTCGTTCCTGTCTCGGTTTGGGTTTCCGAGTTTGTAAGTTTAAGTTCTGGTATTTTCTGCAATGGTTCTCGTTTAATGTTTACCTCGCTTTCTGACCAACACTGCAGATTGTGCAATATATCTTGGGCAATGGAGGGTACATCTTTTTTTTTCCGATCTCTTCCGGTGCAATGACGGCAATACTGTGCCTTTTGGACAATAATTTTGAATAATTTTTCAAATAAGTCTAGCATCGCGGCTGCACTAGTTGCGTGAGATTTAGATTGTTTGTCAGAGCTGTTGTTTGTTTTTCGTCTATCATTAAGCAGTCCTACTTTACGTGCAGGCGAGTACCCGTAAGCCTCAATTCCTCCCAGTCTCTTTTCTTGTTGAGAATGACGATTGGTTTAAAATTTCTATCTCTGCGGGTGTCTGATTACTATTACCGTTTGGAGGTTTCTTCGGTTTAATGGCGTGTCTTCCTCCGTTTCCGTGGCTGTTCCTTGGTCCATTAAAGCCATTACGCTCGCTACTATCATCTCGGGACTGGCTTCTAGTTGTTGAGTGTGGCTGGTCAATTTCGGTGGCGCCTGGTACGGGTTTGTCTCCTCCATCTGTTGTTGAGATGGGTCTACCCTGCTCACGCAATAATCATATTGCTCGTTGACTTCAACCGTCAAATCTGTTTGGGACTGTACGCCTTATCGTAGTCTTTGTTTGTGACTCCTTTAGTTGTGTTGTCGTTTGAGTTGAAGAAGTTGTTCC